CATGGGCTCAGGAGTTGTGGCTCGCAAGCTCTAGAGAGCAGGCTCAGTGGTTGTGGCACATGGGCTTAGTTGCTCCGCAGCATGTGGGATCTTTCTGGACCAGGGCTCAAACCAGTGTCCCCTGCATTGGCAGGCAGATTCTTAACCACTGTACCACCAGGGAAGTCGCATTCTGCAGTTTTCAACTATGAACTTAGGTTTGGTCTATATTAGTCTGCTGTAATTCTGCATGAGGCTGGTTGAGGGTGTTTTCCCTGGCTTTGGCCAGAGCCTACTTTCAGTTTATTTCAATGCTTGGGGTTTCCTGAACAGCTCCGTAAGGGTATACCCAAACCCCAATCAGGCCTGAAGAAAAGCCTGTGGTTATGAATTCCCTGAGGAAAAATTCCCTCCACCCAGAGCCTAAGCCAAAATGGACAAGTTTCCTAGGTATGCCTCAATGGTATCAATCAGATTTTTTTCTACCACATTCTTTCATTCAAGATATAGCCTTTCAAGGGACTAAGTTTCATGCCAGGGCCTCTGCTTCTCTAATAAGTGCTTGGCCCAAGGTCCAGCACCTGTTAAAATCCAAGGCTTTATACGATCCAGCAATCCCACTCCTGGGCATATAACCAGACAAAACTCTAATTCGAAAAGATACATGCACCCCTATGTTCACAGCAGCACTATTTACAATAGCCAAGACATGGAAGCAACCTAAATATCCATCAACAGATGAATGGATAAAGAAGATGTGGTATGTGTATACAATGGAATATTACTCAGCCATAAAAAAGAATGAAATAATGCCATTTGCAGCAACATGGATGGACCTAGAGATTATCATACTAAGTGAAGTAACTCAGAGAAAGACAAAATCATATATCACTTCTATGTGGAATCTAAAATATGACACAAATGAACTTATTTACAAAACAGAAATAGACTCACAGACATAGAGAACGGACTTGTGGTTGCCAAGGAGGAGGGGAAGGAAGGATTGGGAGTTTGGGATTAGCAGATGCAAACTATCATATACAGGATGTATAAGCAACAAGGTCCTACTGTAGAGCACAGGGAACTATATTCAATAGCCTGTGACAAACCATAATGGAGAAGAATATGAAAGAGACTATATATTATATATATATATATATATATATATATACACACACATGTATATATATATACACGTGAGTAGAACTAAATCCCTTTGCTGTGCAGCAGAAATTAACTTGGGCCCAGGAGATTTCTCACGTTCTCTCTGAGCTCAGCTGTACCTTTAAAAGGAAGTTTGATTCTTTTTTTTTTTTTTGGCAGTACGCGGGCCTCTCACTGTTGTGGCCTCTCCCGTTGCGGAGCACAGGAGCACAGGCTCCGGACGCGCAGGCTCAGCGGCCCAGCCTTTCCGCAGCATGTGGGATCCTCCCGGACCGGGGCACGAACCCGTGTCTCCTGCATCGGCAGGTGAACCCCCAACCACTGCGCCACCAGGGAAGCCCGGAAGTTTGATTCTTTAACCCAGTATTTCTGGGTATTTATCAGAGGCAGCCACACTGCAGAAGCACCAGTCTCAGAGTCTCCTTCACAAAACACATTCATCAGATGGCACCATTCTCTGTTTACTGGCTGTTCAATAAAGACCGAGAATCTTTACCTGGTTTAAAAGCTCAGCTCCCTCTGGCCCCTGCTAGCACAGCACTCACCCCACCCTCACCACGCCCATCTCCCCTGCTCTCTCCACTCAAGGTGGAGAATAGAAGATATCACCCTCTTCTGTTATTAAATAGGCTCTGCCCCCTTCTGCCTCAGGGCCTTTGCATATGCTATTCCCACTGATTGCAACTCTTTTCTACCAGACCTGTTTCACCTTTTTTACACCTTCAGGGCTTGGCTCAAACTCACTCATCACTTCCTCAGGGAAGCCATCTGACCTCCCCCCAAACAAGGTCAGACAGACCTCAGTTACACCCTCACAAAGCTCCTGTATTTCTTTACAGCACTAATCACAATGCCAGAAGAATTATAGTTGAAGTATAAATTACAATTATGAAAGCTATCCACTTATTTGCAAGAATATTTTAATGGCTGTCTCCCCCAGGGGACTGTGCGCTCTGCAAGGGCCCAGCCTGTGGGCACCACCAGTGCCCAGCTAAGGACAGGCAAAGAACAGGAGCTCAACAAATGTGTGGTGAATTAACAAAATACAAATAAGTGCAGAACCAGGGCAAAAAACTAGGAGCCCTGATTTCCCGGCCACAGGCTCACCTTCACTAAGCCAGGCATGAAGGATCCCTTTCGCGGGACCCACATTCTCAGCAAAATCACCAACCTACCTGCCCCCAGCTTAGATGGAGAGATAAGAGGAATGGACCACATCAATCAATGTCTTGAGTTTTAATGAGTCAGCCATAGAGCGTTCTTCCCCACTTCTCCATCCTGGGGGCCCAGATCTCAGCTCAGGTTGGGGTAAGAGCAGGGGAGGGGAATAAATGTGAATGGGACTGAGGGACTGGGGCTGGGAGAAGAGGGACCAGGTGAGGAGCAGAAAGAAGGAGTTAACCCCAGGCCCTGAGACAAGCCAGACAGCCAAGCCCTTTTAGCATCCAGGGAACACCACGGTGACCAAACAAAATACATGTGGTCCTCATCGGCAAAGTGATGTCATATTGTGCCCAAAGTTCCAGGGCGAGTCTGTATTGGGCTCTAAGTGCCTACTGGGGGCGCTCTCAGCCTGGAGAGCCAGGAGGAGGCCCATCCTGTACCTGGAACTTGGGCAGAAGGCGCGAACCTGGCCTGGAGGGTGGGAAGGACACACCAACTTGGGCCTGGAGAGCTGGGAGGGGGACCTCCTCGGGTCAAGAGGGGGGTCTCATCTTGGGCCTGATGAAGAAAATCATAGGGGGTCCCTGGAGCCCATAATTAAGTACGTAGTTTAAACAGGATGGGAGAAGCAAAAAGAAGCAGAACCAAACCTAAGGGTACAGCTGGACCCAGGAAACAAGATCAGGCCAAGGGGGTGGAGCTAAGCCCAAGGAGAAGGAGCCAGGAGGCGGAAGGGCAAGGACTAGGAGGAGGAGATGGAATCAGAGCCAAGCCTGAGGAGCAGAAAAAGGGTCCAGATTAGAGGGCAGAATTCCAGAAGTGGGACTAGGGCCAGAGACATCAGGGAATCTGCGCTAGAAGCAGGACCAGCCCCTGTGAACAGAAACCAAACTGAGGAAGGCAGACAGAAAGGAGAGGTGAGGCTCTGTGAACCGCTAAGATGGAGACAGATCAAGGAGTGGCTAGTTACCCAGGAGTTTGAGCCAAGCTTCAGACACACACAAGCTCTGAACCAGGGAGCAAGCGCCAGGGCCAGGGGGAGGAACCAGGTGCTAGGGCCTGGCAGGGCTGCACAGCATTAACCCCCCATCCTCCCCCCTCCCTCCCCCCACACACAGAGCATTATCCAGGGGGCGGGGTTATGTCTGAGGGTGACCGTAAGATAGGTGGGTGGCTAAACAGGGCACAGAGCCAGGTCCCAGAGGCCGCAAGGCCTACCCCCAGGGCTCAGTCAGTTGGGAGAGTGGGGCACAGATAGGCTCGCGGTCCCGGGTCTTGTTCGGGCTCGGTGCCCGGCACGCCGCGGATGTCGGGCAGCAGGCGGCAGCCAGCCACGATGTCCAGGCGCTCGGCCAGCGCGCAGAGGTCCCCCCGCGCCAGGCGCACGCTGTGGGCCGCCGCCAATCCCGCCGCCTGGGCAGCCGCCAGCCTACCGGCCAGGGCGGCCACATCACGGCCCGCGCGGCGGTACACGCCGCTCACCGCGGCCGCTACGTCGTGGTCCAGCCGCGCCTGGCTCTCAGCCAGCCGGAGCTGCAGCAGCGAACGCGCGGGGGCGGGCGCCGGGGCCTCCTCCTCTCCCCAGGCCTCCCCGGCTGTCTCCCGCTGCACCACGAGCGGAGGCAGATCCCTCGGCGCGGCCTTCGGCTCCGGCTCCGAGTCCGAGTCGGTCTCCGCGGCCTCCCCGACCACCCGCAGTCCCGTGGGGCGGCCGCGCGTCGGGCCCGAGAGGACCAGGTACAGCTCCTCCTCCTCCGACGAGGACACAGAGAGCTCCGAGTCCGTCTCGGCCGCCTCCCCCGGCACCACCGTCTCAGGCCTCCGCAGCGGCCTCCGCCGACGACTCTGGGACGCCATGGCGCGAGCTAGGGAGAAGACGCGCGAAGGGATGATATGAGAGGCGGGCGCCCTGCCGTGGTTAAAAGGCGCAAGTTCTGGATTCTCAGCCCCTCCACTGACTACCTTGGCAATCTGGGGCCATCTGCTTCCCCTCCCTGGGCCTCAGTTTCCTTTTCTGCATCATCATCCCTCCTCAGTGTACTGATGGGAAAACTGAGGACCACCAGCTCGATCAAGGCTGAGGCACGAGTACCCGGAGTCCCAAACTAAGCTCTTTCCGATTTTGTCTCCTAGCAGAGGCCACACCCTCCTCCAAGCCTGTGTCAGATTCGGAAGCACACGGGCTCCTGAGCCGTTCAGGTACAAGTGCCTGGGTCACAGAAAGGGTAACAGCCCAACTGGACTCTGGCAAGGGTGCACTAAGGGCGGGGTAGGGAGCGCTATCACCGAAGACCGTACCGAGTCACCGGAGCGCCCAGCCCGCGGGATCCTCTACCTAGCCGAAGTGCGGAGTCTTTACCGAGAAAGGAGAAGGCGGCAGCCCCAACCAATAGGGGAGCAGGTTGGGCGGGTGTTGGCGGCCAATCACCTGGGCCGCTCGCCTACCAACCAGGGAGCAAGCCCTCAGGACCAGCTTTGAGGGGTGTGTGTGAAGAGCCACGTGAATAGGGGCACGACCAATAGGAAAGCTGTTGGGCTGGCGCTTCCGGGTTGTGCTGCGAGGCGTGTAGACAGACGGGGACTCTAAATGACGAGAAGTCACGTGTAACAAGCGACTCGGCCAATGGAAATGCTCGAGGACCCGGAAACGGGGAAGAAGCAGAGGGAAGGGCGGAGATGCTTGTCACTTGCGGCCAATATAGACAAAGCAGGCCCTCCCCCTAGTCTCCCAAGTTCAGGCGCGCACCACAAGAGCCCAGAAAAGGAAGGCGGGGCTATCCCGAAACACCAATGGAAGCGAGAGTGGGCGGGCTCGCGCTTAGGTGCAGGAGGCGGAGCTTGCCCAGCCGGGCCAATGAGGACACGAGGCGCTGGACGGTTGTTAGGCGGGGAAGGTCGGCGCATGGCTGACGCGGTACTGTTCGAGTTTCTGCACACGGAAATGGTAGCGGAGCTGTGGGCGCAAGATCCGGACCCCGGCCCCGGGGTGAGCGCCGGGCCCCGGGGGGAAGGAGGCACGGGCCGCGGCGGGAAGGCCGGGTCGAGGCCCTGGGAGGAGCAGAGGGCGCGGCAGCGGCCCGGGTCGGACCCCCCGCCCCGCCTCTGCCTCGCTGGGCGACCTCAGGCGCCAGCTTCCGCCTCTGCAAAGCGGGGTCGCAGCAGGGCCGGCCTCGAGGGTCTCAGCTAGAACTGAGCGAGACAGTTCGGGGTCAGGCTCTTAGCTCAAAGCCTGGCACAGAGTAAGCGGGTGGTAATTACGATTACTGGGTATATGTTGAGAAGTTGTATATTGAGCCTGGGTTGAATCCCGCCTGCATCACTCATACTGGGTATGAGAGCCAGTGATTCGACCTCTGTGTGCCTCAGTTTCCTCCCTTGTAAAATGAGATCATAACAGCACCTAAGACTCCGAGCGAGACCTTTACTCATTCAGCAAACTTACTGAGCGCCTACTGTATTCAGGGCACTGTTTCCCTGTCCTCGTGAAGCTTACGTTTTAGTAGGGGAGTCAAAACAAACAATAAATAAAAATAGAACGTGCCACCAGCTAGTGAGAAGTTTTATAAAGACAACTTCAGCCGAGTCGGGGAAAGAGGAGAGGTGGAGTGGTGGATGGTGGAGGAAAGCCTTTTGAGGAAGAGAAGGGAGGAAGCAAGCCCCGAGGATAAGTGGGGGGAAGAGCATTCCAGGAAGGGGGAAGCCTTCTGCGAAGCCCTGCGGAAGGAGCGTGATTGGCATCTTGGAAGTTGGCCCTTGTGAAAAATAAATGCTCAGACTTCAAAGCACTTAGTACGATGTCTAGCACCTAATCAGCCCTCAAAACACGGAGCTCTTGTTTTAAAGTCTGTTACCAAGAAGAAAGGGTGACAGAGAGAGTAGGTGCTTAATAAGTGGGGCTGTGCCCCCTTTTTTCATTATTATTCTGTCTATGATCATCATCGTCAATATGCAAGACATTTTTATTGGTCTGTGTTTTCTTACCAATTCAGGAGGACAAAGGTGTTGCTTGTTATCATCTCAACATAGTTTTTTCAAGTTCATTCATTCAACAGACTGTCACTAAAACCTGCAAGGTGCCAAGCCTTACTGTAGGCTCTGGGGATTATTCAGCGAACCATGCCAAAACCCTTGCCCTCCTGGAGCTTACGTTATAGTGGGGTAGGCGGGCAAATCAGATAAACGAGTATATATTGTACCTTGGGAAAATGCTATGAGAACGTTAGCGCGTGGGAGAGGGAGTGTGCACTGGCCTGTGTTTTGGGGAGGGGGCTGCAGTGTCTCAGCACCCCATCCATCCTGGCTTTCAAACCAGAAACCCGGGAGTCCCTGACATCTGCCTTTCCTCCCTCACCTCCAGCCATCAGCCAGGCCCTTCCTGTTGTGCTGTCCAAATATGGTTCCCATCTGGCCCCTCCCTGCTTTAGTCTGGCTTCCCTCCTCTCTGCCCTGTACCAGCGTCCTCCCTCATCTTCCAGCTCATTTCACCTGTCACATCGTCACTGCCTTGACACCTATTAATCCTTCAGATCTTGGCTCAAATGTCCCCTCCTCGGGGAAGCCCTCCCTGAGCCCCCAGTGGAAGTGGGGTATCCTTGTATCACAGTAAGTATGTATCTGAATTATGTATCCATATGATCCTTCGATTCACAGCCTCTCCTCTGCCAGGCTGCCTGCTGTGTGGTGTGGATGGGGACCGGGTCTGTGTTGATCACCCCATAGTAGGTCCTCAGCATGGATTTGTTGAAGTGAGGGCAGCCCCTGTGCCATGGAGGGTGTGGGCGGGGACTGGCATTCACTTGGTATCGTGGCCAATAATAGCACCCATCATGTGCCCTGGTGGGCTTCACATTCCTGATTTCATTTGATCCACCTAACAACCCACAAAGGTCAGCATGATCCTCCCCACTTTGTAGAGGAGGAAACAGAGGCTTTTATAGATGGAGTCTTCACTGTCAAGTGGCAGAGTCAGGAATGTAACTGGGCCTCCCACTTCCAAAGCCTGTGCTATAAACTCTCTCCTGTCTTTCTCAGTGTCTTCTCTGACACTCTGGGAGGATTTTAATCGGTTCCTGTGGCCAAGCAAGTAGGGGGGACAGGCGGTTACTCAGCTTTGCCCAGCACAGGGCTTTCAGAGCACGAACGCGCCTGTGACCCTTGGGCATGGCTCTCTGCCCAGCTGCCTCTGCAGTTCTGATGCTGGGGTCCCACACCAGAGATTCCGGTGGAGCTGGGCCAGAAGGTGGCCCGGGCGTCAGGCCTCAGAGCTTCTGGGTGGTTCCTGTGTGCAGCCAGGGGAAGGACTGCCGTCTCCCCACATTCTTTCAAGCTGGGGAGCCCCGTTTCTTAGCACATCATGGGCAGCTGCCCTGTTTTCGCGCAGTCTTTTCTCTTTTGCTCCCGGCCCCTCCCCTCTCTGCTCCTTCTCTTTGGTCCAGCAAGTGTCCTGTCTGAACGCCACGCAGGCCTTCTGTTTCTTGGGTACTTATCGTGTCTCCAGCACAGGACTTTATCTGATTCAGTCCTCAGAACAGCACTCTGAGGTTGACGTCATCGTCCCATTTTACAGGGGAGGGACTGAGGCACCAGAGAAGGAGGGCTTCTCCGACGCTGCACAGCCAGGATCAAAGGCAAAATCAGGACTCGGGCATCCGTGCCAGAGCTTGTCTGTGGCATTAGGCCTGCCCCGCCCACCTGCCCCAGAACCCTTTGAGGAAAGCGATGGTGGCTGGTTCATCTCTGTCCCCGCAGCACAAGCGCCCAGGAGCCACAGTCGTTGTTTAGGGCTTTTTGATCTCCATGTCCTGCCTGGTTATTTGTGGCTGTTGAATGGATTCTCCTGAACGGTTACGGGTGGAATGGAAGACTGGCCGGAGGAACTGGGAGGTCGAAGGGCCTTTGTTATCAAAGAGGGAAAAGTTCCAGGAGTCGGAGGAAGAGGCTGTGGTTTGTCCACCTCAGGAGCTTTGAAGATATGTGGGCAAAGGAGTGAACCCCTCTGTGTATGTAATGAGCTGTCATCCACTGGCCGCTGGCCCGGGAACGGCCCTGCTGGGCAGGCCCTGGTCCACCGAGGCCCAGCGAGTGCCCCGGCCAGCCCCTTCTCTCAGGAGGGCCTGTGGTGAATGTAGCAGCCATCAGATACAGTCCTGTCCTCAGGCAAGAGCCTGGAAAACCAACCAGTTCCTGGCACAGTGGATAGCAGGGGGCAGAGCCCTGGAGGGGGCGCAGTGCATCCGAGGCCACAGAGCCAGCAGCGGGGTCTCCATGCGGGAACTGGGGCTCTGTCCTGAGGGCGGTGGGGGCCATAGAAGGTTTAAACTGAGGTGTGCCAGGCTCAGATTTACTTTTCCGGAAGTCCTCCCTGGCCACGTGGATGAGACTGGATGGAGATTGGGTGGGGAAGGGTGCTGCTGCAGGAGCCCGAGCAGCGGTGAGGGGTAGACGGAAGGCAGGTGGAGGGGGGCTGGGTGAGCTCATAGAGTGTCAGGGGAGAAGGTGGGATTTGGGGTTGTCTGGGCACCACCTGGGTGCATGAGGACAGGGCGACAGGGTGGGAGGTGTGCTCTCACCCTGTCACTCAACTGGTCACGCAGCATAGTTCTTTTGGGTCTTCTGGGGCCATTCACCTTGGGGAAGCTGGAAGTCATCCCTTCTCCCTGTGCTTTTTTTAAATATATATAAACTTATTTAGTTTTGGCTGCGTTGGGTCTTCGTTGCTGCACACGGGCTTTCTCTAGTTGCGGCGAGCGGGGGCTACTCTTCGTTGCAGTGCGCAGGCTTCTCATTGCGGTGGCTTCTCTTGTTGCGGAGCACGGGCCCTAGGCGCGCGGGCTTCAGTAGTTGTGGCACGTGGGCTCAGTAGTTGTGGCTCGCGGGCTCTAGAGCGCAGGCTCAGTAGCTGTGGCGCACGGGCTTAGTTGCTCCGCGGCATGCGGGATCTTCCGGGACCAGGGCTCGAACCCGCGTCCCCTGCATTGGCAGGTGGATTCCTAACCACTGCGCCACCGGGGAAGCCCTCCCTGTGCTTTTCTTAAGGCAGGAACCAGTGCTGCTCCTTCCTGGGACGCCCTGCCCTGGGCCAGCACAGAGTGGCTCCGTGGGTGGAGCTCGAACCTCACAAATAACTAATAACCAAGGGGCCAGGCAGGCCAGGCACACAGCCCCCCACCCAGCTCCATCGAGTTTCAGTCCAGGACGGGACCAGGGGGGAGGCAGTTTGGTTTACTTGTTTTCCATTCATCCTACTCGGAGTTCTGCGGCCCTTTTCGGTCTGGCCGCTTGAATCTGCCTTTAGCAGAGCACACGTTCCTCTTACGCTCCTTTCATTATTTCTTCTCCAGCACTGTTCCATCTCTCGCAGTCAGAGGAATCCTAGACTTCCTAGGTCTCTTTCCGCACGTCAACTTTTCTCTCATTTTTTTCCTACCTCGTGGTTTCCTTTTTTCTTAACAATCTGTGAGGTTTTACCTACCTTCCAGATTTGTCTCTTTTTCAGCTCCCTCATGAACAAACGTTTCTTTTGGCTACCATTTCATTTCTAAGAACGTTCCCTTGTCCGATTGTCCCTTCCTCCAAGTGCCCGTGCTGCTTCATGGATGCCCCTCGTGCCCACACTGATAAGCCTCCTCTGAGGGGTCCCCCCTGTTTCTCCCATTATCTCGGTTCCTCTCCATGGGCTGTTGTGTCAACTCGGCTGAGGCAGGCGTGGGGAGCCCAGAAATGCACTGGCTCTGGGCTGGGCTCCAGAGGCTTCCAATGGGATGGGAGTGTCCCGCCTTGCCCTCCCTCCTCAGGAATGACGAACCCCTCGTGTCTGGAGAGCTTTGGTAGGGATTGGGGCTTGAACACTGCTGAGTCCTGGGAGGCGGCTGCCAGAGAGCAGGTGGGGTTCTGCCACCCTCCTCCTCCGCCCTCTCTCCCGAGTCACCCGCTCATCCTCCGCCCTTCCCTCCCCACCGCCTCTCCTCCTCCCTGCTGGCATTATTCCCCCCTCCCCACCACCCCCAGTCTCTGCAGTGCAGTGGATGTTTAACTGGCCCCTTTCAAGGGCCGGGGACCATGGAGCCAACAGCAACAGCTGCTGTAGAGCGAGCTGCCGGTCACACCACCCTCCACCCTCTCACCAGCTTGTCCTCCCCTGGGTGCCCGTCATCCCCACTAGGCTTGCTAGGCGAGCTCCCGGAGGCCAGTCAGGAAATGTCTGTGGGATGAACAGGGGAGTCCTGGGGTCTTCCCTGTCCCTCGGGACACAGATGCACTTAGAGCGGAGGCGGAGCCCAGCCAGGCCCCCTCGGGTAGCTCACCTCTAGGAGGGAGGTGACGCAGGGTGGCAGTGATCCAGGTGCTGAGATCCGCCAGCCCACAGAACAGAGCCCCTCCTTCACGGGGCTCTCCTTCCCTTTCCCCATCAGCTCGTCACGCAGGTTGACAGGTGCAGAGGCTGTAGATAACAATGATGGTAGCGCTTCCTGAGCCTGACTCAGAGCGCTTGGCTTGCACTTACCCGCTCCCTTCATCCGCATGAGGACCCTGGAAAGGTCCTCATTTTACACGTGAGGAAACTGAGGCACGGGGCAGCTGGTAGGGGCCAGGGGCTGATCTGGCCCCGGACCCCGGAACCAGCCACCCGGCACATGTCCCCCTCTCTGCCTCTCATGCCCCAAGCTCAGATCCCGCACATCCTGAGTCTACAGGCCCTCCCCGCAAGGCCGGCCCTCCTGTGCTGGAAGAAACCAGAGAGCGCACGCCAGTGCCACCAGCAGGAAGCTGTGTCCTTCCCCAGGCCCGGTTCTCGCGGGAAGAGCACAGGATAGCGGGACAGGGCCTGCATATCACATAGCCCAGCAGAGCAGAGGGCCGGCACACAGGCCGCCTCTGCTCCGACCTCCCTATGCCTGGCGCGTCCCCCCAGCGGGCCTCAGCCCTTGCCACTTCCCTGGCGCAGGGACAGCTGGGGGTGTTGCCCCGGCCGCCCACCCATCTGCCACCTACCTGCAGGAGCCAGACCTGCTCAGGTCCGAAGGACAGCCCCGTGGCTGAGGGTGCCTCTGGGAGGTGTGACCTAACCCCTCTGTGCCTGGTCTCCAGGTGTGAAATACAGCCTACCTTATGGGGTTGTTAAAATTAAACAAGGGGGTCTGTACAGGGCACCCGGCACAGCGTGTGCTTGAGTCCCAGTTCCTCACTTTGCTCGTTCAGCATCTGTTTCTAACGCGCCTCCTCCGGTGTGCCCAGCCCCGTGTTGGTCACCACAGGCTGTCCTGGTATTTCTGACGCCCCCAGTCTGGGCCAGCCTCCCTCGCCTGCTCAGCTCTCTCCAGGTCACACAGATCAAAAACACACACAGGTCAGCTCTCCTCCAGCCTCGCCGTCCACACTCCTGGGCACGTGGACAGATACCAGGTGCAGCCCTCCTGCCACCCCTGCCCCCGTGCCTCAGCCCCTCCACCGTGAGACCCTGGCCTGCCCTCCAGGAGGCCGCTTTGCCACCACAGCCTTCACCGGGCACCCGAGGGAACATTTCCCTCCCCTGTGCCCCTGTGCGTCCCTCCCAGGATTCTCAGCTAATATGTTAAGGCCTAATGATCACAGCTGACTTTTCAGCCCCCCTGCTAGCCAGAGGCCAGGGCCCATGCCTTGTGGCCCCCTTACTTGCCACATGAGCCCCAGGGCAGGTCGCCTTGAGTTTCTGGGGTAACGGGAGTGCTACTCCACAGGGTGTTGTAAGGACAGACACTGAAAGCGCATATAAGTGATGGGTGTTATCAGGAAAGACTTGACCGGCAGGGTGAAGCTGAGCCTGGGGAAAACCCCCGTTTTTCCTGGAATGAAGGGGAGCGGGTCCTGAAGACTGATGGGGTTTCTGGAGGCGTGTGAGGAGGTGAAGGGGCAAAGCCGGCCTGTCCTGCCAACCTGTGCAGCAAGGCCCTCCCCTCTGGGCCTCCTCGCCCTGCGCGGGCAGGGACGGGCAAGTCCCCTCGCAGGCCCCACACCCAGCGGCTCCCGGCTCCCTCAGGTGACCGAGGGCCCCTGCGCCTCTCTTCCCTGGCCTTCTAGGGACAGAAGATGAGCCTGTCGGTCCTGGAGGGCATGGGCTTCCGCGTGGGCCAGGCCCTGGGCGAGAGGTGAGAGGTGGGCAGGAGCTGAGGTGGGGTCCCTTCCTAGGCACAGCCGGGCGGGGAGGGTACCTTGCTCCACGCAGGAACCCAGCCTGGTCTCCTCCCTCTTCCTCATCTCGGGGCTCCCCCCTCCCCTGGCCTGGGCCCCACCCCAGGCTGCCCCGGGAGACGCTAGCCTTCAGGGAGGAGCTGGACGTCCTCAAGTTCCTATGCAAAGACGTGTGGGCGGCCGTGTTCCAAAAGCAGATGGACAGCCTCCGCACCAATCACCAGGTGCGTGCCCACGCCCAGTGCCCAAAAGAGCCGGGGAGGGGACTCCCCCGCGCAGGGCGGTTGCAGCAGGCCCAGCCCGGCCACGGGGACCTGCCCAAGCTGGGAGGCAGGCACGGGCCCCCTCGGGGCCTCTGTGTCATCCTCCAGGGGAAGCCAGGAGGCTGCCGTGGGGCGTGGCAGCAGTTTCCAGCCTCCCCGCAGGCCTCCCAGGATGGGCCCCAGAGCCGGCAGAAGGCCCCTTGTGGCGGGCGGCACCTCGCCTCGGCCTGATGCTTCTTGTCCGGACCTGGTCCTAGTTCCCATTAGGAGCCCGTGCTGTGCCGGGGCCCGGTGGGCCGCTCCACGGGCCTGGGCTGCAGCTTCTCACCACCACCCTGGAAGGTCACGCACCCAGCGGGGCAGGACACCAGGCCCGGGGCCGAAGGCCCGTGGGTCCTTGTGCAGCTCTGAAGGACGGGCCCGTGACCGACCACCACGGTTTTGAGGGAAGGGTCCTTCCAGACCTCAGCCCAGCGGGGCTGGGCCCTGGGTCCTTGCTTCCCCTCCCCCCAACAAAGGTACAGGTGCCACCCCAGCCCCCACGGGCCCCTCCTCTGTCCCCAGGGGACCTACGTCCTGCAGGACCACAGCTTCCCCCTTCTCATCCGGATGGCCTCGGGTCTGCAGTACCTGGAGGAAGCGCCCAAGGTACGGGGGCGGTGCTGGGACTCCAGCCCCAGGCAGGCCCCTCCCCGAACCCAGGACCCCGGGAGAGGGAGGGGCCCAGCGTGGCCCCCCTGGTCCTGGGTGTTGGCCTTCCCCCCCTGCCCACAGTGACCTGTGTCCCCCGCCCCCAGTTCCTGGCCTTCACCTGCGGCCTCCTACGGGGCACCCTCAGCACCCTGGGCATCAAGAGCCTGGTCACCGCCTCCGTGGCAGCCCTGCCCGCCTGTGAGTTGGGGTGGGGGGCTCCCGTCCGAGTGAGGCAGGGGTCCCCCTGCTCCAGGGGGGCCGAGGAGGTGGGGCCGGGCCACCCCAGCCCCATTTCACAGATGGGAAGTCTTGGGCCCAGACAGTTTAAGTCACATGCCCAGGCCACACAGCTGGTGCAGCGCATCCATGCCCCTGCCCCTGGATGTCCCCCGCAGCCTGCTTCCCCTGGGGCCTGCCAGCCTGGAGGAGACAACCCTTGACGATGACCTGGTCTAGTGGTTTCGAACACTCTTCCCGGTGCGGGAACCCAGGTGGACATAATGGAAGTCACCCGGGTTGGTGCTGTGCTGAGGGGCTCCACAGGCAGCCAGGCCCCATGGAACTTGCAGCTGGCGTGATGGGCTGTCCTCCTGACCCCCGGGTCCCCGATGGCCCACAGTGCCCTCCATCAGACAGGCCGAGGCCCCAACCTTACCTGGGGGCAGCCTGCAGCCAACCCTCTAGTCCCCTTCCCTCCAGGTGTCTTCCCCTCTGCCAGTCCCCAGGCCCACTCATCACGGGGGACCTGGGAGGATCTGAGCAATACATGCCCCAGAAGCCCGTGCCAGCCCCTTCCCCAGCAACCGACATGCTTGGCCTTCATGCCCCCCGTCACCCACACAGCCCTGGGATGCAGGCCAGGTGGGCAGGAAGCATCACCACCCTAGACCGGTGAGGAAACTTGAGGCCCAGCTGAGGCCACCCAGGCTGGCGCAGGGCAGGGATGAACATCTCTGAGCTATTGGGGTGCTGCCTCTCCCCTCCGGTCCCAGCCTCAGGCTAAAGCCAGCCCTTCTCTTCCAGGTAAGTTCCAGGTGGTGATCCAGAGATCCTGAGGGAGCCCCAGGCCCCACCCCCAGCCGAGCCTCACGCCACCCCATCCCGGGGACCCAGCTGCTGCCCGTGGTGGTGGCTGGTGCTGGGGAGACGGGGTCCCACCGCTTCAGGGCCTCATAAGCGCTCAACAAGTGGGTGTCATAGGGAGGTGGGGGTGTCCCGGGGGCAAGGTGGACCCCGCCCCAGTCGGGGCTGGTGTGGAGGGAGCCCACATCGGACACGTCCCTCCACATGGCAGGTGCTCAATAAAGGTTCTGTACGTGGGACCAGATTCCAAGTGGAAGGTGGGGGTCACGCAGGGTGCTGGGGGCAGGGTCATCTGCAAAGGGGCTGTTTGTGTCACAGGTCCTGCGGGGGAAGCAGGCTACCCTGTGTGGCTCCCCATCCCACATTTCCTCCTCTCCTGGGCCCCCTCCTCCTCAGCCTCAGCCCTGGAGCTTGCCGCCTCCTGCCCTGCACACCTGGCGGGGGAGGCTGGCCCCTGGCGCTGGCACCCTTGCCAGTGTCAAGTCTGGGGCCGCTCTCTTCCCAGCGGGGCCCACAGAATGGACCTCTCCCTAGGAGCAGGGCCAAGGGCCCCCAGGGTGCTGGCAGGGCTGGGCTGGGCTGGGGCTGCCAGGACCAAGGATGGATGCAGGTGAGGTGGGCCAGACACCCTCGGCTCCCCCAAAACACACACACACACCCACACACACACATACACACACACGAATACACAGTTCATGTGCCTGGCGGATGCGAGTCATACCAAGAAAAGAACAATGGCCAGGCTGACCAGTCCCTGGGCAGCTCGGCCTTCATGCCTGCACCCCACCCCCTGCCGCCACCTCCAATGTTTACATTCATAGCATCCGAGGGCATCACCCGTCTGGACTCTGCCAGGCTCTGCCACTTGCTGCCTGATGTGGGTAAGTACCCCCACCTCAGACCTGCACACCGAGGCTGCGACAGACCCAAACGGGAGGAGGAGGGGTCTCCTCAGTGGGTGGGGCTCCTCTGCAGACACCCCATCCAGCCCCTCCCCAGCGCACACAGCTGAGCACCGCGGGTCCCTGGCCTGCCTCCGTGCATTTGCACATGCCATTCCCTGCCTGGCCCACTCCCCAAACTCCTGCTCCCTCTCCGGTGTCCAGCAGCCACCAGCCTCAGCTGCCCACCACATCCCTCGGAGCAGTTGCTCACTCGCCCGGCACCTGCAGCCCTGGGGGGGCTCCTAGATGGCCTGTCCTGCCCTGCCGCCGTGTTTACTTGTTTACGTCCCGCCGCGCTTCCCCGTGGGTCCCTCTGGGTCCCTCAGCCGGGTGCTGGCACTGTCCAGCACAGAGCCTGCAGATGTTTCCCAAATGAATCGCAGTCATTCAGCTAAACTGTGTGCGCACGGACAGGCGGGGGATCGGCCCAGCCCTGCCCTCCAGAAGCTCCGGGCTGTCCTGGAGGATCCCCCCCGGACTCACCACACCCCCACTCAGACACACCAGCCTGGCCTCCCTGATGGGGCAGGGGTGCTGGGAGGGGGGCAGAGTCCTAAAGTGGCAGAGGACAGGGAGGAGGAAGTTGCTTGAAAGCCTGGTGAGGGGAGAGAGAAGTAGCCCAGGGGAGGGAAGGGGCACAGCTGGGCTACAGGGGGCAGTGTCTGGTCACTGGGCACAGCTCTGTGGTTGCCTCCCCCATCTCCCGGGGGAACGAACCTCTGTTCGACCCATCACGCCAGCAGCAGCCACAGGGAGACAGGACCCTGGAGAGCAGAGGGCCCCCCCCCCACACGCTGTGTCTAAGGCACCTCCTGCCCAGCCATGCCCACCCCCAACCCCGCTCTCACCTCTCGAAGAACGTCCACAAGGCGCCTCCACCTACCCAGCACAAACCACTGCCTGCAAAGCCTGGCTCTGCCTCCCTAAGACCCGGGGCAAGCGACTCCCCAGTCCGGGCCTCCGTTTCCTCACCTGTAAAGGGGGCATCACCCCCGCCCCACTGGAGCGTGGCAACGAGGAAAGAGGTTACTGGAGATAAAAAAAGCATGTTGGGACTTCCCTGGAGGTCCAGTGGTTAGGACTCCGCCCGTTCGCTGCTGAGGCTGGGCTTAATCCCTGGTTGGGGAACTAAGATCCCGCAATCCGCGCGTTGGAGTCAAAAAAAGAGAAGCGTGTACGCTGAGCACGGCTCCTGGTGAGCCTGGAACGCGCGTGTCGTCGTCATTTTATGTGAAGCATCTGGAGCAGCTGGCAAATGGGGCCAGTTGGCGCCACTGTTGCTGAGCACCAGGCTCTGGGCTCAGGGGACTCCTCCTGACAACCACGAGAGGCAGGCACGGACGCCGGCCTGCTCAGCCATGAGGAAGCCGAGGCTCAGAGAGGTGAAGTCACCTGCCCAAGCTCACACGGCTGGGCCCTGGAGGAGCTGGCACCTGAACCTGGGGCTGCATCTTCTGTGGGCCTGGACTCCAAATCCATATCCTAGCTTCCTTCCCTCCCACAGCATAAGTGCCCAGACCAGCAGACCCTCTGGCGGGTCCCGCCCTGGGCAGCAGCGTGGCCTGCCATCTCCATCCCTTACTGGGGTACCGCGGTGGGGTGGGGGGCGGCGGCAGCCCCCAGTCCTTGAGAGCTGAGGGCACCGCACGGGACAGGGACTGGGCAGGCTTGCTGGGAAGGGGCGGGGACAAGGTGGGCAAACCGGTCGGGCCACTGGGCTCCTGGCTCCCAGCTCCCGGGCCTCTCACCAGTCTGGCCTGCGCTGACGCTGCCAGACGGTGGGGCTGGCACAGCGGCTCGGCTGGCGGCAGCGGCGGGGCAGGGAGCTGGGGCCGCGAGGCTGCCATCAGGTATGGGGGACCCCAGGCCGGGGGGATGAGGTGGGCAGGGGCCACGCGCCAGGCCCCCAACCCTCACCAACTCCAGCTCTCACCCCCGTTTCCTCTGCCCCTCGGGTTCTCCCGTGCCTGTCTCTAAACAGCCTCCTTCCCTCGCTTCCGCTCCTCACATTTTAAACCCAGTGCCCCCCCACCTCATCCCCAGTTTGCTCAGCCTCTCCCCAGACTGGACCACGCCGACTTCATCTGCTCCCCTAGAGTCCCCCTCCCTCCAACCCCTCATTAGGTCCCAAATGTCTCAGCCCTGACATTTCAGCCGCTCGCCTGCTCGGTGGCTCACTGCTCCCCGCCTCTCACCGCACTGGTTTCAAGTCCCTTCAAAGGGTGCCAGCCTCCACCACCCACAGCGCACCCGCCCAGTACCTAGCTCCCCCCTAATCTTACTCAGCCATCCCCTGGCTCCCAGCCCACGTCGGCTCAGCACCCGCACTGTCCCAGCCTCTTGGAAACTCCCAGCAGCTCCCGAACACCCAGGCCTTGGAAATCTCACCCACCCCAAATTACCCCCCAACACCCCCCAAGCGTTCTCATCCTCGCGCGCCTGGCTGTCCCGTCCCTCCATCCTGACCTCTCCCTGTTACTCTGAAGAGCACCCCCATGCCACCTGGGTAGCCCAGGACCCCAACATCAGGGATGAGGTCTCACCTATCGCAGGTCTCAGGGCCGTCCGGTGGGTGGGTTCTTGCTGCTGGCGCCCGAGGGGGCTGGGTACTGAGCCCGCTTCTCGTCCCCACCCCCAGCAGGCCCCCCGCCGCCATGAACCAGCACTACACCATCCACTTCACCAAGGGTGCCCTGCCCCCCCGGACCCCCACCAAGCGCTACTCCTCGGACAGGGAATTGGGGCACCAAAAAGGTAGGGGTTCAGTCTGGGCGGCCCTGGTCGCAAGAGAGACCTGTGAGTTGGGGGGCTGCTGAGCGGATGGCCAAGCAGAACTTCAGGCCCCCGGAGGGAAAAGCCACCGGCACTCACCATGGAGGCATCTGCACAGGGGGCCGTGGGGACCGTAGGCCCTGGGAGGCCGGAGGTGGGAGCCTGGGCTGGGGATGCCAGCAGTGGGGGCCCATCTGGCCTGCCCCTGCCCCTAGCGTGGACAGAATTCCCTCCCCAAATCGCCAGGCCTGTGGGGACTGCCCCACAACGTGCGGGGAGCAGTGCGGTGGCCGGGAGGGGTCGGAGGGCAAGCCCGCAGCCCACACTGAGTGCGTATGAACGAGGAGGGGGTCCAGCTGCCCATGGTGACTGCAGTCGCTGTTGCTCCGGGCGATGAGGGGGCAGCTACTCCCGTCAGGGCTGATCCAGCCTCCTCGGGGCCTCCCAGGGCAGCCCCCTTCCTAGTCCCCACCCTGTCCCCCTCCACAGTCACGTCTTGTCACCCTGGCCTCCTGTGGACCAACCAGGCCAGCTCCCAGTGGAGTCCTCTCCGCCCGCCCCCCCACTTGGGGACACCCCAGGGACCGAAGAACTTGGGGTAGCAGAAACTCTGGGGGCATCATCCCCCCTCTAGCTCCTCACCTAGCTAAAGCCCAGGCCCCTGCACCTCTTCCCACCCCCCACCCCCTGCCCCAGCCATGGGAGAGCGCAGGGCATGGCCCCGCCCCGGCCCACAGCCCCTCCTCGTCTTCTGACTTCTCCTGGGCCTCAGCTGAGTGACGAGCCCCAGCCTCCTCCTGAAGACCTGAGCTGGTTTCTGCCAGCGCCCCTCAGGGGTCAGGGACTCAGGCCCAGTCGCCCCCCACTTCCTTCCTTCCAGGATGCTGTCAGCAGTAGTACCATGACCCAGCGGCACCTCAAGCCTACAGGCCCTGTCGCCACCCCCCAGGCATGCCAGGCCACCATGGGGTGGCGATGGCTGTCGCCGGGGCCTCCAGCCCCCTGTTCTGCAGCGGCAATCCCAGCCCGCACTTCCCAGCCCCCCGTGGCAGCGGCTCTGCCCCGCTCACGGCACCCAGAAGGGGCCGCCTGCAACCACTACCGCCCCCATGCAACTAGCCAGCACCCCCCAGCCGGCCCCCACACGCACCCCCTCACCCGCCACGGCACGCACCACAGCCAGCAGCGGCCCAGCCCTGCCCTCTGCAGCCAGCACCCTCCTGGAGCCCAGGAGGCCCACAGACACCTGGCACCTGCCTGACCCCGTAAACCGTAGCTCCTTCACCTCCTACAGGTCCAGAGCTCACCCAGCCTTCCCTTGCCGGGGCTCTGTCCCTGCCACTTCGCCTCCCACCTAGGCCTGGGGCCTGCCCTCCTCAGCCCTCACTCTGGTTCCTGTCTGGGAGGGCGCTCATCCCTGACACTGGGCCTCTGGGCAGCCGCTGCTCCTTCACCCGTTGGGATCCAAGGCTTCCAGGCCAGGCCTGTCCATGCTGCCTCCATCCCGGGCGGGCCAGGGGCCCGGGCCCCAGCTTGTGACACCCTTGCTCTGCTTCCTCTCTTCCCAGCCCTCCTGACTTGGGGCAGCAGGGGATGAACACCAGCTTGCTCTGGTGTTGGGGAGTGCAGCTGCAGCAAGAGGTAGGGAGTGGCCCGAGGGACGGAGAGAGCAACACAGCCATGGGAGGGATCCACCCACCCACCCACTCATTCATTCATTCACTCTGTGACCAGGTACTGGTCGCCTACAGGGGCGCCAGGCTCTGTTCTGGGGGTGTCACAGGAAGCAGGGCAGACAGAGATCTCTGCCCTCATGGAGCTCACGTTCTATAGGCGGTGGGGGGAGGCGGGTACAGGAAAAAAGATAAATAGGGAAGTTCAAAAGTGTGTCACCGGGCGACAACCATGTTGGGGGGGAAGAATAAAGCAGGGAGAGGAAATGGGGTTTGCAAATTAAACAAGGGCATCAGGCGAGGCCCCATCAAGTCTGCATTTAAGCAAAGATGGGGCAGTTCTCTCGAGTAACTAGCAACAGGATCAGCAGGTGCAGACTCTGAGGCGGCCTGTTCACGGGGCAACACGGAGGGACATGCGGCTGGATCAGGGGAGGTGAGGACGAGGGTCAGACGGGCTCCGAGAGGGCGGAAGGTGGCCTCGTGGACGCGGTGAGGGCTCAGCCTTCTCCCCCTGGGGAGGTGGGAGCCACAAGGGCCCAGAGCTGACTCAGGATGTGACCTGAGAGTTGACTGTGGGAGGAAGGGCGGAAAGCAGGAGTCCCGGCGAGAGGTGCCGGCAACCTGACCGGGGAGGTGGCAGTTTCCAGGTCTGGTTTGAAAGCAGAGCACAGCTGAGTGGGGACTCGGCTCCAGGTCAGGCACAACCCCGTCGCCATAGCCTCGGGGCCTCGATGCCCATTTCACACACAAGTTAGTAGAGGCTCGGCGAGGTGAGGTCAGCCATTGACCAGGCAGAGCAGGCTCAGGTCCTCCCCAGCTGCCGCCTCAGCTGACCTTGGCCCGAGTCTGCCTCCTGCCCTCCCAGCTGTGCCTCCAGGCCCAGCGCTGGCCCCCAGCGAGGGATGGATGCTGCAGCCCACGAGGCCTCTATGAAAGTGGGCGTGTCATCCCCACCGCACACCGTGAGGCTGGCCTGGCCTCCCCCCCTGCCCTGCCGCCAACTGAGCGCTACCTTTCTGGTGCCCTGACTACAGGTCCAAGATGCCTCCCAGAGGCATCGGAACTAGTGACTTGTGGGCACAGGGGTGGACAGGCAGCTGAGGAGCCTGCCCACGCTTGAGTCAGGCTAGCAGAGCAGAAAGGAACAGACTCGGCGGAACTTTTGAGCGCGTACAGCGGTATCTTAGGGCCCGGGAGTCTCAAGAAAAGCCTGTGGGATTTTCCCAGGGGAACCATGATCCTGGTGACCGGGGGCCAGGGCAGCCAAGTTCCCGCACACCTCTGGGCCAGGGCCGGGTGGGTCTGGCCTCCTGGCCTTTGCCTGGTGGATCCGGGGCCTAGAAGGGCACATCTGGTCCTGAAGGAGGGGGCTGCCGGCGGCCCTCTGTCGGAGGGCCCTCTGTCGGAGGGTTTGACCTGAGTCATGGCTGGGAGTCAGGGAGGAGGGGTGCCGGTGCCGGGAGGGGCTGAGGGCGAGCACTCCGGAGGGTAGACGGGGAGCAGGGTGGTGCCCGGCCAGCGTCGTTGACTCAGTTTCCCCACCCCCGGGCCCCAGACATCCTGACGGAGGATGACGTCTACTGCAGCTGCCTGGCCAAGACTCTCTGCCACGTGCCTGTTCCTGTGACCGTGGGTTTCTACGCCCCCTTCGGCTGCCGCCTGCACATGATGCTAGACAAGATCATGGGTGAGGATTAAGGGAGGTGGGGCGCTTGGTCCCTGCCCAGCCCCAGGCTTCCCTAAGACCTGCTCACCCCTGAGGCCAGTCCGCCAGATGCCCATAAATCAGCATTATCCAGGTCCCTCCCTACGCCTCTGCCCCCTCCCCCGCCTAATCCACTGCAAGGAGTCTTTCCAAAATACACATCTAGCCCTGTCCTTCCCCTGCTCAGAAGCCTTCCACGGCTCCCAGCACCCTAGGGAGAAAGCCCAGGTTCCTCGCTTGGCTCCTGCCAAGTCCCTCCAGGCCTCTGTGCTCCTCGGACCTATCTCTTCTCCTCAGCCCCGGCCGAGGGCCTGGCGCCCACAAGACCCCTGACAGATAATGTTAATTGAAGACATGAGCTGAAACTTAGCCTGGTTCAAACGCTGCTGGAGCTCAGACCCCAGCCCCAATCATGGCCAGAGAAGCCGGAGGTGACTCACCTCCGTGTGCCCAGCCCTGGTGAGCACCTATCAAACAAGCGCATGTCCTGCTCCTGTGTTGTCACAGAGCAACAAACAAGGTCCTGGAAGGAGAAAAGATTCGGCTCTAAGGTAAAGGGAAACAGAGCTTCTATTCTGCGCTGACTCCGACTCATTCCCACTGGCTCACTCACTACCCTCACAGCAGGCAGATCATGCCCCCAATCTCTCATGATCCATCCTCCAGACACTCCCCCCAGCACTTCCTCAGCACCCAAGGGACACAGGGTGGCCCAAACAACCAGGGCCCTGCCCTTCCTGGGCTCACAGACCAGCGTGAGAGACAGACCTGTCCCCAGACAGGGATGACCCAGAGAGGGCAGGACTGCAGTGGAGGAGCCCAGGGTCACCTGACCCAGCTTGGGGATCAGGGAAGGCTTCCTGGAAGAAGTGATAACTGAGCTGAGAGCTGGAGGAGAGGCAGTAAGCCAGGAAAACTGGACCAAGGGTGTACACTTGCTGCCCAGCATTTCTCTTCCTCAGCACCTGGCACGCATTCTTTCATTTCTTAGAGCCCTCCCTGCCCCCACCGGTCCTCTCTCCTCTGGGGGCTCTACTTCTGCCCTCCCCTGACCCCCCCAATTCCCCCTCAGACCCTTTCCTGTTCAAGCCTGGCTCCAGGCCTCTCCTTCTGCACTTCTGCACCTGCCCAGCACCTGGAGACGGGCCCTGGCTCCCCGTCTAACATCCAGGCCCTGGCCTGGCCTAAGCCGGGTCTAGACGCTCACACCTTCCCCTGCGCCCTCGGTCCCGGCAGCGCTGATGCAGCAGGAGGCGACCCAGAGGGAGGCCGAGGAGCTGCGGCACGTGCAGTGGCAGCTGAGGCCCATACGGGGCTGGGGCTTCTCGAAGCTGCTGTGGTACCTGGTGTTCCTGCAGCCCATCATCACCGAGTTGCATCTGCGGCGCAAGAACGTCAAGTTCCTCTTCATCCGTTTCAGCGCCTGGCAGTACGCAGGCAGTGACAAGCTGTGGGCCGGCCTGGTGGCCACACTGTGCGAGGGCATCCGCCAGCAATACGGCGCACTGCCCTTCAGCTTGTACTCGGTGCTGGGCAAGAAGGCGGCCACGAGGCCGGGCTACCGCCACCGCGAGTGGCACTGCCGGGGCCACGTGTGCCTGGCACTGCTGGCGCTGCTGGTGGCGCTCAGCCTGGGCATGAGCCTGCTCTACCTGTCGATGGGCTCCCACGTACTGGGCCACAGCAACACGTTCCGGGCATTCGGCGGCGCGGCCACCACGCTTTCGGGCTCCGGGCTGCTCATGGCCATGTACTCGGTGGGCAAGCACCTGTTCGTGAGCCAGCGCAAGAGAATTGAGCGGCTGGTGTCGCAGGAGAAGTTCAGCAGCCATCTGGGATTCATGTGCCAGGTGAAGAAGGAGGTGGGGCTGCTCACCGACTTCCTGTGCTTCCTGGAGATCTACCAGCGGCGCCGGCTGCGCGTCGTGCTCGAGATCACAGGGCTGGACACGTGCTACCCGGAGCGCGTGGTGGGCGTGCTCAACGCCATCAACACGCTGCTGTCCGACAGCCACGCGCCCTTCATCTTCATCCTGGTGGTGGACCCCAGCATCCTGGCCGCGTGCCTCGAGAGCGCCGGCTCCATGAAGGGCACGGCCGACAACGGTTACCTCTTCCTCAACCGCACCGTCACGCTACCCTTCTCCGTGCCCATCATGGGCCGCCGCACCAAACTGCAGTTCCTGCACGATGCGGTGCGAAGCCGCGACGACCTGCTCTGTCGCGAGATGACGCTCAACGTGAGGTCGCGGGGCGGGGCCGGGGGCGGGGCGGTGACCGGGGGCGAGGCGGGGTCGGGGGGCGGAGACGTCGCGCCGCTCCTGGAGACAGAGGGGCCGGCCCGGGCCGAGAGCGCGCAAAGCCTCCTGGAAGTAAAGGCGGCGCGCAGCATCCAGGAGGCGCTCTGCTGCCTGCACGACGAGTGCGACTGCCTCATCGATTACGTGCCCGACAACGTGGTGTCCATGCGGCGCATCGTCAACACCGTGCCCATCACCGTGCGCCTGCTGCAACAGCAGCAAGGGGACTTTGAGGGCCTCTCGCCGCGCCAGGCCGTGGCTTGGGTCGTGCTCGCCAACCAGTGGCCGTGCCGTCTCAGCTGGGCCCTGCAGTGCCTGGAGGACGAGCAGCAGGCAGGGAGCGCGCCCGAAGCCAGCGCGCCCCTCTGGGACGTGTTCTGCGACCACAGCCTCGAGCTGCACACCATGACCGCGACGCTGCAGAAGGTGCTCGACCTGGACGGCGACCCCGAGCTTTTCCAGCGCTTCCTGGGCGCTGACTTCCCCTTCACCGTGGCCGAGGCGCAGAGCCTCTTGCGCTGTACCGTTAACCTGGACCACTCCATACGCCACCGCATGGGCCTCATCCGGGCCGTCAGCACGCTCAAGACGCCCCGCACGCCCAAGTCCCCTGCCCGCAAAGACCCTCACGCCGCCAGCGGAGCCAACCACGCCCCCGGGGCGGCCTGGGCAGGCCAGGCTCCTGCGCGTGTCTGCGAAGCCCACCAACCCCAGGACGGGGGCAAGTCCAGACCCATGGCCTGAGTGCCCTTCACTTGGGGTCAGTCTAGCCCAGGTGGGCCTTGAATGGAAGGCCTTGGGCGCAGCAGAGGGCAACACTTCCTTCTGCCCGGATGAGGGTGTAGGGGGCCTAACTGGGTCCAAGTCCCAGGGTCCAGTGTCCGGAATGAGGCCTGTGGTGGCCACATTCCCCAGGTGAATCTGTGAGCCACAGAGAACTGTTGGCAGGAGCCACCAGGAGTGGGGGGCAGTGTATCAGTGACAGCATCTGAGAGCCCGTGCAGAAGGACCCATGAGGAACTCGGGGTTCAAGTGCAATAAATGAAGATGTGAAAACCCCAGATTGGTCTTCATGCCCCAGTCTCCCCAGCTCAGTGAGGACTGGCCACCAGGCCTGCCCTGTTCTGCCAAGCCCACTTCATCCCCAGGGAGTCGGGCAGCCTCAGCTGGCAGCCTGCTCCCTGGCATCCCAGAGGCAGGAGTGGCTGTGGGGGAAGCGGGCGAGGCTGCGGAGGCAGGGGAGATGAAGGACAGAGGGATGCGCCCAGCTGACTCAGTGGAGCGCACCCAGGCCCCAGGGGATCCAGGCCCTTGTCCCCACATCCGAGCTTGCCCCTCTGTGGGCGGGGCAGGAGCTGGCATTTCTGAGGGTGGTGTCCCCAGTGACCTCAGCAGGCTGCTCCACTCTTGGGGTGGCTCCTCCCCTGGCATAATGGGTTAATTAGGCCTCGACAGCACCCCAGCGCCGCCTCCACCAGACGAGTAATTGTCCAGGGGGTACCTGCCTTACAGGTCACTCCACAGCCACCCAAGGAGCCCCTCGATGAGGACAGGGAAGTTGAGGAGCATATGAAGCCCTGGCAGTCCTGGCATGACTGAGCTAGTGGCACCACCCTGGGCGTGCTGAGAGATGTTTTCCAACAGCAGAGGGAGAGCCTGCCCAAGAATGAAGCCACCACAGAGATGCACGGGTCCTCATGACGCTGTTAGACCGACGTCTCTGTAGACGTGCTACTGGAGACAACGTACATCGCTTCCCGCAGCTCCCTCAGCCAACTTGACTTGGGCTTCTGTTTCTTACCACCCAGAGTCCAGGCTGGAAACAAACTGGCCCCAGCAGTGTTGGGCTGTTGGGGAGGCAGGACTAACCCTTAGATTTGGCTGGAGGTCAGGAGCAGGACTGAGGACACCCCCCGGGCCCCAGGAGGAAGCTGTGCCCCGTTACATGATGCCGAGCAGTGGTCAGACTGGTGCCCGATTTATCTTAGACTCTGACCATGTGCCTGCCAAAGCTAGAGCTTTGGGAGACAAAGAAACAAAAAAGAACAAAACAGTATGTCAGAGGGGCTGGGTGTGGCCAAGATAGCTCCCTGTCCCCCGGCATTCATGGGCCCCTATAGTGTGGGGCTTTTGCTGGGGACTTGCACCTAGAAGGGAGTGGAAGTGACGTGTGTCCGTTTCCCATTGAAGCAACGAGTTAAGAGGCAGGTTTGCCTTCTCCACTCTCCTCCCCCACCTGCCTGCTGGATGCAGGGTCTCCTGAGGCCCTAGGGGATGGCAGAGCCACCAGAGGGCGCGGGGGCCTGGCTTTAGGAGTCACTTCGTGGAGAGAAGGTGCCTGTCACACCCAGAACACCCACATGCAGGAAAACAAACATCTCCCATGTTAGGGCATCGAGATCTAAGATGTGGTACAGCGTCTAGCTTGGGCGATACTTGGACGGCTGAAGGCAAAGGTAAGAAAATACTCGGCCAAAGGGATCTAACTCCATGATCCAAGACCCCTAAAAGGTGGGAAAATCAGAGCGTTGCAGAATTGGTCTATTAGTCTCCTGGGGCTGCTGTAACAAAGTTCCACAAACTGGGCAGCTTGGAACAACAGAAATTTATTTTCTCACAGCTCTGGAAGTCAGAAGTCCAAAATCAAGGAGCGGTCAGGGCCACACGCCCGCGGAAACCTAGAAGGGAACCCTTTCTTGCCTCTTCCAGCTTCCGGTGCTTTGCTGGCGTCTTTGGTGTCCTTGGCTTGGGGTTGCATCATAAGCCCTCCATCCTCCCAAGGTCTTCTGTGTTCTCACATCTTTCCTTTGAGCATATCTGTTCTGTCACTGTCTCCAAATTTCCCCTTTTCATATTGGATTGGGGTACTCTATAACCTCATTTTTAACTTGATTACCTCGATAAAGACACTATTTCCAAAGAAAAGTCCCATCCTGCAGTACTGAGGATTAGGACTTCACATATCTTTGGTGGGTGGGGAGGTGGGCGCAATTCAACCCTGAACGAACAGTGGAAAAGGCCGAATTCCTCACCACAAGCTAAAGTGAAGGGTGGGGACAAGGCTGGGAACAGGACGCCAGGCCCTCCCAGGCACCACAGGACGGGGAGGCACCCTCCCCGCCCCTCCCTTCAGCCATCTGTCGATCACCTGGCCTGCAGGTGGAGGCAGAGAGCAAAGGGGATGGGCGAGCAACCAACACCGCTGTCAGGGCCAAAAGCCCCCACCTGGGTCGATTCCTGAGCAATGGCTAGATGCGACCAAAGGCCTACTGAGATTCTTAGGGGACTGTACTGACAGACCCCAACCTGGCAAAGGACTGCGGTTTCTCAGCATCTTGAAGCAAACCTCGCACTCCCCAGTCTCCCCAAGAAGACTTGGGCAGGAGGCAGGGCACCCTGGAGGGGCTCATTCCACACCCACCTCACACCCGGGCACAGCTGCGCCAGCCGGAGGATGACACTGTGCGGGTGTCTCCCTGGCTGCCAGCGGGGCGGGTGCCACTGGCTGACGTGGGTGGCTTCCCCCAGCCCCTCGCCCAGATGAGAGGGAGCCCCAAATGTGGCTGCCTTAAGGAGCGGTCAGGACACCGGAGCTGTCGGTGACTGAAGAGCAAACAGAAAGTGGCCTAAACAGGAAAGGTGTTCATCCCAGACACCCAGGCAGCTGCGGTAGAAGATTCCGGCGTTTGTGCTGGAAGCAAACGGGCTCCCAATCAGTAACGCTGTGGTTCTCATAACCTTTCCACCGCGTCTCTACCCACCCCGGGCCGGCCTCCCACGCAGGAGAGGAGCGGCCACAGAGGCCTTCCCCCTTAAGTGGTTCTCGCCTTTTCTGAAGGATGAAACTCAGATTTCCCAGAAATGCCCAAGAGCCCTCTGGGTGCACCTCGGCGCCTGCAGGCGACCGGCCAGGCTCCAGGGCAGAGTGCCCTCCTGCCTGAACATCTAGGGCTGCCGGCGACAGGCTGGTTGGTGTCTGTTCTCCTTGGGCCACAGGCGACCGGGCAGAGGAATGACCTCTGGACCCGCGTGCCAGGTCCACCACCCTGAGAAGCTGGACCTGAAGCTGGAAGGTATCTGGGGGCTGTTCCCTCTGAAGAGAGGGAAGTGGAAGTGGGATCATACACGAGATGGCCAGCTGCGTCAGACACGGGAGTGTGGGTGCGCGCACCCAGAAGGGGCCTGCCTGTCCCGCCTCTGCTGTGGGGCCCATCCTCACAGGCCCCAGCAGATGTTCTGCAGCCACGACCCACCTGGCCCCTGCCCTCCCCATCTCTGTGCCAGAACCCCCGCAGGGGGAGCCCAGGATCAGCACAAGCAGAGAGCAGGCCAGTGGGGAACCCAGCTCTGGTTTATTAGAAAAGGTGTGAGCAGACCTGCACCGACAGGAGCAGCCCTCCCCCCCCCCGCCCCCCACCCCACACCCGCGCCTCCCCCACCCTGGGCTGTAGTGCCTCTCAGGGCACAGCCTCGAGTGGCCCGGACAGCAGGGTCTCCAAGCCCTGGCTGCTCCCCACCCCAGCTCCCTGATAGATTTATTGCACTTAAGTAAAAGAAAGCTCTGATCCTCTGATCTCCCCCACCCACCCCAGCCCAGGCCCTCACCCTGCCTGGGGCTGCTCTACAAATTCCAACCACCACCATCACTCACCTCCCCTCCCAAGCCATGCCTCCTGCCTGGTCCCGTGCCCAGGGCCACCAGGGGATCATCCCGCCACCACCTAGGACTCCTGACCTCTATGCGGGGCAAGCCTGGCCAAATGGAGCCCTGGGGAAAGGTGCCCGGCCCTGTAGCCGGTATCCACTTCTCCCCCGCGTCCTCCTCCCATCCACCCCCAGCCCAGTCTTCGAGTGTCAGACACATAAATAGAAGTGCTTAAGTCAGGACGGGGAGGGCCACTCCATGTAGCTCCTGCACCCCGTGTAGTGTTGCTGTGGGGGGCAGGGGTCCCCAGGAAGGCCCCCCACCCCCTGGGGTCCCAGGCCTCAGGAAGGCTGGGGGTGAGGGTGAGCAGATTCTCATGGCTCTGGCCTCAGCTCTTCAAAGACGGACCGGAAGAAGGGAACTTAGGGAGAAGAGATCGCAGGGGGGCGCCTGTCAGAGTCAGGCGCTCCGTCACTGGCTCCCCAGCTCCCGGGGCCCCAGGCCCTCACCGCACCTCAGGTGTCACAGTGTCTCCTGCCCAGATTCCTGACTGGCCTCCAGAAGCAGGTCCTCGAGCTCCTTCTCGTTCTTGGAGCAGCTCAGCTCTGCGCGAGAAGAAGGGTGGGCGGCCTCCAGTCAGGCGGGTGGGCTGGGGGGTACCAGCCCTGCCTGAGCTAGAGCCGCAGGGGAGCACAGGCCCAGGTACCAATGAGACCATCAGACTCAGCGTCAACAGAACTTGCGTGCCCTGCCCCCAAGGAGCTCCCCGGGATCCGAGGGAAGTAAGGCGGGGACTGAGGATCGAGCCCCACTTGTCCCTGCCCCTTCAAGGGCCATTTTAAAGAGGGGGAAACCGAGGCACACCAACAAGCAGGTGCTTGGCCGGGGTCACACACAGCACACAGGGGCCCCAGTCACCTGGCCCCAGAGGTCCTCTCACCGTGTTCCAGGCCGCAGGTGCCCACCTTGGCCTCGGGCCCTGGGGGCGGCTCTGGGAGCAGTGCGAGAGCGAACTCGGGCTTCAGGCCGTTGGGCAGCGGTGGCCCTGACTGGGGCGGCTCGGGCTGAGGCTGAGGCTGAGCCGACCCTGGGTCCCGAGTGCTGACGGCCTCAGCTGGCGTCCAGGCAGGTGAGGTGGGCAGGAAGGATACGGCAGGTGGGGATGGAGGACGAGGAGGGGCAGGTGGGGAAGGAGAGGTGGGTGGCACAGGAGGCTCTGCCCTCTCGGGTGGACTCTCCACCCGGGTCACCACAAACACTTTGTGGCCCCGGCCCGGGCTGGACACGGAAATGCGCTGCTCGGTGGGGGAGGAGGGGCAGCCTGGGGGGCTCCTGTCCCCAGGGCCCAGGGAGTCCGTGGGGGGCACCAGGGCGGGGCAGGGGGCCTCAGCCCTGTCCCCATCCTCCTCCTCCCCATCCTCCCCCTCGGAGTCTGAGTCTGAGTCCGAGTCCGGCCCGGCGCCGGGGCCGGGGCCCCCGTTCTCCTGCGCCTCGGTGGCAGGCTCCTCCGCGGGCGCGCCGGTGTCTGGCTGGGGCTCGGAGACGGCGATCTCGGCCATGGAGGCCGACGGCTGCAGGCACTGCCCCTGCTCCTCCCGCGCCAGCGCGAAGTTGCGCCTGCAGCCGTTCTGGATCTCAGCGAGCAGCGCCTTCTGCGTCTCGATGAAGCTCTTCACCTGTGGGCAGAGCGGGCCTGGCTCGGGCTCTGGGTGGCCCGCCCCCAGCAGGTCCTGGGGCCGCCCCAGGCCAGCCAGCCCCCCATCCGCCCGCGGGGAAGAGCGCGCTCACCGCCTCCTTCTTGGGTTCGCGGTCAAGGTCCAGGCGCAGGAGAGAGTGGTTCACCTTGAGGGCCAACGACAGCGCCATGAGCCCGCCCGTCTTGATCTCGTTCTCCCGAAGGTCCAGTCTCAGGAGGCGGGGGCTCTCGGCGATGAACTCCGCCACCGCCACCGCGCCTGGGAGGGGGACCGCAGGGGCTGGCCACGGGCCCACACCCGGCTGGCCGCCCCCCCAGCCTGGCCGGCCCGCCTCCCGCGCCCGGCCCCGCGCCCTACCCTCGCACGTGAGCTTGGTGGAGGCCAGGCCGAGGCGCAGCACGCTGCGGTTGCCGATGAGGCCGTTCTTGAGGTTGCGCACGCCCTCATTCCCAATGGGGTTGTGGCCCAGGTTCAGCGTCTCCAGGCTGTGTGTGTGCGGCTGGAGGGAGCGGCGCACGAGAGCCAGGAAAGGCCCAGGAGGCCAGTCAGGAACGAGGCGAACGCACACGCTCTCTCCTCGGCAGGGCCCCCCAGTCCGAACACCGGCACGTTCCCGCTTCGGGCCGAATCCCTCTTGTACTCAGAAGTCTCCTGAGAGCCAGCTGCCCCGTCCACTCCGCAGCCCTCCGAGCGTCCAGCCAGGCCCCTGTCCCCACAGCCCGGGCCCAGCCTCTGCCCTCGCCAGCATCCCAAGGACTCTGGGCACAGGCCTGACCGTGGATAATTCTCAACCTGGGTCTGAGTCTCTGTACCCCGTGGGCTGGCTTTAAATACCACATAACGAAAAGATTTAAGACTTCCTGATGGCTTCCAGAAATGCTAACTTTCTATGCAAAACATTTTCACCTCGTACAAAGCGTTGTACCAGGCTACGGTGCTGGATGCAGAGAGACAATGAAAGAAGGGCTACTTTCCTCAAGGGAAAGAGGGTGCAGAAGCTGAAGCAAAGACCAAACAGGGCTGGAGGAAGACAGCAGGTTCCTGAACTGGCAGGACGAGCAAGACGGGGAGCCGCGACAGCCGGAAGATGAAGAGAGCCGGGGGTGGGAGAGGTGCTGGACCGGACCGCGCTGCCCCCCTCCCCTCTCCGGCCGACTCACCAGCGTCATGCCCAGAAAGGCCATGCCCGTGTGCGTGAGCTGGTTGTTCCACAGCACCAGGGTCGCCAGCCCCTTCCTCTGCTCCTTGAGGCCCTCGCAGATGTAGGCCAGACCTGGGGAGGCCCGTGGGCAAGTCCTGTCTGTGGCCGGGGAATCTCCCCGGGGGACACTGGTCCAGGAGCCACCCCACCAGCACTCAGAAGCCCCTGCCCCAGCCTGCCCGGCCCCACGGGCTCTGGCCCTGACACCTCCTGCTACTGCCCGCCCTGCCTTGGGCCTGGCACACACAGCTCCCCGACTCCTGGGCCAGGAACGTTCCTCCTCTGGACACCCTGATGAAGGCCTCCGCCACCTGTTTCAGATCTCTGCTCAAATCTCCCCCTCTCATGGGACAATCCCGGTCAGCCTAACCTCAGCAGACAGCTCAGCCCGCCATCACCGCTTTATTTTTCTCCAGAGCACATTTCACCATCCGACAGACTCAGCAGTCCATTAAGGTATCTTGGCTTTGTCTCTCCTGAGGGCAGAGACCCCTGCCGCACTCACGGCTGTGAACCCCGAGCCGACAGGCCCCGCGCGTGGGAGGTGCTCAGTACACGTGGTGTCCGGGCCCAGCTGCCCCAGAGGAGGGCACTGGCCTCACTGTCCCACTCTGCACCCCCTCCCGCAGCCCTGTCTTCACACTGAGGCCAGGGGACTCTGCTCGACGGTGAACAGGGACGAAATCAAATTCCTCCCGCTGGCAAGGCCTTGCTGACTACTCCCTCTTCGCTTCTCACTCACCTCCTGGCTCACCAGGGCTCTTCCCCCCACCCAGATATCTAATATCTAAGCTCTTTCCCACCTCAGGGCCTTTGCACTTGCTATTCCCTCTGCCTGGATTCTCTGCCTAGGCTTTTAAAACGGCTGGTTCCACCCCAGCCTCCTCATTACTGCCCAGAGGCCCCTTCCTGCACACCTTCAACAGCTCTCAGTTGACCCTTTATCCCAGCATCCTTGTTTCCTCCAGGGCACCTTCCCCAGATTGAATTATTTCAAATACCTGCTCAATACCCCACCTCATCCTGAAGGAAGAGCTGAGCTGTTCCCTCCTCCAGGATGCCTCCTCCAGGATGCCTCCCTGATCCCCAGACTGGCTCAGACACCTGCCCCGGGCTCCCACAGCCCAGCCCAGTCTGAGGCGTCACCACGAGGGCAGGGCTGGGACTATCTCGGCCACTACTGTGCTTCTAGTACCACGAGAACCCGGCTGGGCACACAGTGGGTGCTGGGCGACTGGAGTTGGGTGGGGGCGCGCGGACCTCGCACACACCTGAGTCCAGTACGTGGTTGTTACGGAGGTCCAGGATCTGCAGGGAGCAGTTGAACTTAAGCAGGTTGCCCAGCTGGGCCGAGTCCTGCAGGCCATTGAGCTTGTTGTCGGCCAGGTACAGCTCCCGCAGAGTCATGTTCATCTTCAGGGCCGTGGCTGGGGGATGGGGGAGAAGGGGAGGGTACTGTGACTGGCCAGGCCCAGGGGACCCGGCCAACAGCCCGAGCCCACCAGCACACCGCCCTGGGGCTCACCGAGCAGCATGAGGGGCCGCCCTGAAAGGCTGGCATTCTCCAGGTGTAGCACCGCCAGGCTGCTGCGGATGCGCAGGGCACGCGCCACGAAGGGCGCCGCGTGGTCCAGCAGGGGCGTGTTGCGGGCGTCCAGGTACTGCAGGCAGCTTGTCTGCGTGGCAGGTGTGGGGCTGGGTCAGGCTGGCCCCGGCCCTCCCCGCTCCGGGGGACCTCCCGCCCTACGTCCCAGTATCCCCGTGAGCAGCAGGGCCACCTGGTTTTATGGCTGGGGACACTGGCTGGTGAGGGAAGGCCAGCCTGGGGCCGCGGGGGTGAGCGAGGCAGTGCTGGTGACAGCTGAGCTCGCTGACTCCTGTGTGGCAGAGACGCCCCGTATGTGAGTGAAACGGGAATGGTGACCACAGCCACCTCCAAGGGACACGTTACAGGCAAGTGGAGGAGGAGGGGAAACGCCTGAAGGGAGAGAAGGGGCCGGGGTGGGGCTGCAGCAGGGTGCCTCTTGGCACTGCTTCCTCACTGGCCTGCAGGCTGGGGCCCAGCACCCTCTGACGGCTCATGGACCCAGGCCCTACAGGTTGGGGGCCCTGGAGAGGGAATGGGTAGGGGGCACCCACCTTGCGCATCATGTGGGCGGCGGCCTGCCAGCCCCGGGTGCCGATGTGCTTGTTGAAGGAGATGTTGAGGTGGGTGGCCGACTCATAGTACTCGATCATGTCGAAGAGGGCTGAGGCACCCTGGGCAGAGACAGCGGGGCTCAGCCTCAGGGTGCAGCTGCCCGGGGAAGCCAGGAGGTAGGGGCTGAGTGACTGGGCGCGGGAGAGCCCTGATGCTGCTCTGGCACCTCTGGGTTCCGGCAACCAACCCTTCCCCTGTCCTGCTGCAGCCGGTCTGCTTCCTCTTACTCGCCCCCCAGAGCGGTCTAAGTGATGTGCTGCGTGACCAGGACAGGCCTCTGCCGTCCCTGGGCCTCAGGTCTCCAGGAGCCCTCCCCCGGGCTCCTGGTGGCCTCCGGACCTGGGGAGGTGAGGACACCTGGGCATAAACAGGGGGGCTGCTTTCAGAACGTTTCTTAAACTCTCTCCCCTGCAGGCACTGTGATTCTCAGCGGGCGGGGGGGCACGCGTTCCTGGAAAGGCTCCTTCCTGGTGGTCATACACCTCCCCTCCGGCTTGGCTCCCCAAGTCTCTCCCTTGCTTACAAAGCCCCTGCCTTTGGGGTGGGTCTGTGAGACCCTTCTCTGGGCCTCACACACAGTCCAACATCCCCCGCTCACTCTGGCCACAGTGGACATCTCCCCAGTCTTGTCCCTCAAGAGGCCCCACCCAGCCTTGGTCCAAGGGGGTTCCCTCCTCCTGCCATGCCCTCCCCCCAAACCTCTAAGAGGCAGGGAGCTCAGGGAGTGGGTATGGGCAGTGGCAGGCTGCTCACATCTTCGTCCAGGTTCGTCTGCTCCAGATCCACGACCTTGAACTGCAGCCTCTTGAAGACCTCTTCCAGGGCCTCACAGGTCTTGTAGTCGAGCTTCTCACCTGGGACGATATGGAGCGCCGTGTGCGTGCACATCAAGAGTCCCCTTGTGCGTGTACACTTGGGTTGAGGGGCTGGGTGGAGACACGGGCTCCGGGCCAAGCGGGGGAGGAAAAGTCCTTTGCCCCTCCCCACGGCTCGCAGCACCTGCCTCACCTCAGGAAGGGCGCCCACACCTCCCTGCCCGCTACCCAAGGGCCCCCCGGCCCCGTCCAGACACACACCTTTCAGGTCCAGACAGTCGATACGGTGCCCGAGGTCCGTGAACTCCTGGGAAAGCAGAGTGGATGGTGGTTAAGGCAGGAGGACACCTGCAGGCGCCAGGCTGGACCTCCCTGAGAGTGGGGCAGCCGGGGCTCTGAAACAAGCAACCTTGGAACATTCTGGAATGAGCCATCCAGAGGGAAGGCACTGAGGCAGTGCTTTACCAGCACGACCAGGCTGGACAGGTGGCAGGAAAGGCACCTGTGAGAGACGGCTGGGGGCGAGCAGGCCAGGCGTACAGCAACACCCTAGTCATATAAAAACGGAACCTGCCCTCGCGTCTGTGTACCTCTAGATAGTGACTCGTTCTCTATTTATAAAGGCACAGAAAGTCCAGGGGACGAAAACCCCGAGCTGTCACCAGCGGGGACTCCTGGGGCATGGGACGTGGGCAAGAAGTGAGAAACAGGTTTTGCTTTTTATATCTGTAGTATTTTAACTTTTTTTTCAAGTCAGAGAATATACATTACTTTTGTCATTCAGACTTTTAAATTTTGTATACGTGGCTTTTCCCCTGGGGAAGAGAATTGCTTTGGGGAGTGAAGATTCTTGACAAGTAATTTCCTACTTCACATAATTCTGTACTGCTTAAATATTCAGGAAGAGCCCGATTACTTTCACAGTTGAAAAGAGGATTTCCAGAGACATATTTATAGTCCCCTGGCTGGCCGACCAGGCTCGGGGTGGGGGGAGTGGTCTGTACACCCTCTCTTGCCCGGAGGGCGCTGGGGGGTGGGGTGAGGGCAGCTTCACCCCAGGCACTGCCCCCCAGTACCCGCCACGCCCCCAGCACGCGGCATTACCTGGAGCTGCCTGAGGAGCTTGGGGATCTGCCTGCAGCTTAGCTTCTGGCAGGCCTGCTTGTAGGCACCAAGGACCTCATCCACGGTCACGTTCTGGGCTGCAGGCAGAGAGGACCCAGGCCTGTGACTTTCCACACCCTGGGCCTCTTTCCCCCACTCCCGCCCACTGGCCTGTGCTATCCCCCCTCCCCCTCAACCTCCATGATAAACCTTCCTTCCAGCAACCCACTGAGCTCAGTCCTGCCTTGAGGTGCCTCGCTGTGACTGCTGCTCTGGGGAGGTGTCCCCGGATGGCCCCAAACCAAGCCAGCGCCACCCTCCCCAACTCTCCAAGGCTCCCCAAACACCTTCACGTGAACATTACACAACTACTATCATGCCATTTTTCTACTTGTCAGCTGTCTCCCCCTCTAGACTGCGAGTCCCCGAAGGGCAGGGCTGGGGCTGTCTTGGTCACCACTGTGTCCCCAACACCATCTAGCACAGGGCCAGGCCCAGAGCAGGTGTTTTGATCTGTGCGGGGTTTTTTTTTGAATGAGAGAATGAAACTTCGACCTTATTAGGAAGTGGAGCTCAGAAAAGTGAAGCACCTTGCCCAAGGCCACACAGCTGCTAAGCGGTGGAGCCGGAACTCAGCTCTTAACTGAGATGCCACGTGGCTTCTCAGACTCCCCGCTCCCTCAACAGCGAAATATTCCCGGACGGTACTCAGGACGGGGCTTCCTGTCCCAGGGATATGGCAGCCGTCAGAGTCCCTGACACGGCCCTGGTGCCCCATGGTTACAGGCAGTGGCTCCCAAAATGAACAAGGGGATGCAGCCCAAACCCAACAAATGCACAGCCCTGTCCTCGGGGAGCTCAGGGCCTGTCACCACGTGGAAGGTAAGGCTGGCCTTTGTCTGCACAGATTTGCCTTTTTTGGACATTTCACAAAAATGGTGGTAAACAGTATGTGACCTCTGGTGGCCAGCTTCTTTCTGGAACATAACAATTTTGAGTTTCGGTCCCTTTGTAGTGCTACGTAGTAACTGTCAGATGTATGCATTTTGTTTATCCATTCGCCAGGTGAAAAGATATCTGTATTCTTTTCAGTTTTTGGCTATAAGAGCTTGGATTTTGTGCTGGGGCAACCAGGAGGGCAGGAAGAAAAGGCTCTGAGCAGGGGAGGGACAGGGTCAGGCCTGGGAGCAGAAAGCTCCCAGGGCCAGTGGGAGCCCCTGCTGAGCTTCTGGGCAAGCATCTCTGAGAGGATGCTCCCTCTGGCCACTGCTCTGGCCGGGGGCCGTATGCCCCGACCTCATCAAGCAGCACCCTGTCTTCCAGGGAAGGAAAGCTGCCTCCCTGGGGTCAGGCAGCTGGTAAAAGGCAGAGTCAAATATTTGCTCTAGAACTCTCTCCACTGTGTTGGGTGGGGCTGCTGGAAGAAAGAAGCCGACAGAGGCCCCAGGCTTCCCAGAGGTCAGGCCCGGTCCTCTGCCCCTCTCTTCCTCCTTGGGTGGAAGCAGGCGGGGTGGAGCCTGGGTGAAGCTATAGGTGATCAGCAGCCTTCCCCAGTGTCAGCTGCCCCCCTGCAGGCCTAGCAAGGGAGCTCTCTCTGACGTGCAGTCGTGTGCCTGGTGGCTCCCAGCTCTTGGGGGCGGGCGGGGGAACAGGAGCTGGCCTGCAGCTGCCTCAGGGAGTCCAGCCAAGCAGGGGTCACTGACCCCCAGGGGGTCCATGAACTTGAGTGGGGAAAAACTGCCTTTTTATTTGCACTAACTGAACTGAAATGAAATTCAGCATTTCCTTCTTACTAACACAGCACAAAAAAGAGAGAAAAAAGAAATATTGTTTAGCAGACCCTGGGACTCTGTCCTCAATAGAAATGGCAGGTGTTTTCACATCACATAACAGTTTTTGTAGATTCTGAATGCTCATCACTACTTCGGAAGTCATTCGAGCTGCTGCTACATCCTGTTATCTCAGGTGTCAACAAGGAATAGCATAATTACTAGATCACGATTTTTTAAATATTTAATAAACTGTATTTTAACTGATATCCTTTGTAATCCTACTTTTTGCCTTTAAAAATCATCACTCCAAGAAAGGGTACACAGGTTTTATCAGATGGCCCAAGAGACACACTCCCTTCAGTAAAGGCCCCCAGGCCAAGGTGGGGTTGGCCTGCTCATGTCAGATGGGGATGAAGTAGGGTACTGGGTACACGTGGGGTCGTCACTAGCAGTTCTCGGTGTCCTAGACCAGGGGTCCCCAACTCCTGGGCCACGGAACGCTACCGTTCCACGGCCTGTTTAGGAACCGGGCCAGCGAGTGAAGCTTCATGTGCTGCTCCCCGTCACCCGCATCACCGCCTGCACCATAACCCCCACCCGCTCCACCTCCGGTCCGTGGAAAAAGTGTCTTCCACGAAACCAGTCCCTGGTGCCAAAAAGGTTGGGGACCGCTGTCCTAGACAGTCTACAGGGAATAAGAGCCCTAAGCAATCTCTCAAACTGCAGTTGGTCCTTTAGGTGTTCAGCTCTGACATCCCTTCCTCCAGGAAGCCCTCCCTGACCGCCTAGGACTTTCAGCTCCTGAAGTCCCCTGGGATCCTGCCCAGTGGGTCGGTCTTTGTTCTGACGAGCCTCCTGGTGAGTTCAAGGCCCAGGGTCTCTGACCTTGCCACCTCCATACCAGCCACAGGTACCATCCAGCCACCCCTTCAGCCAGGTGCCCATGGGGTTTGGATGCAGGCACAGCCTCACACAAGGTCACAGCCAGGGTTCGGGGCGGCTGCATCTGCCCACTCCTGTACAGCAGGGGAAGCTGAGAGCAGGGGGTAGGAAAGATGGACATACTCAGAGACATGGGGGTCCAAGGCCCAGAGCAACTGGAGACAAGAATGACAAGTGCATCTTGTCACTTTCCTCTGATGCTGAGACACACGTTCAAGGTGGGGACAGCACTGGGGAAAGACACTAAAGGAACAGAAGCGGGGGTTCAGTCGGTGCACTGTGGCGTGGGCTTGGCAGCCTGCAGGCACCCCAACCCTGTCTCGATTTCCCCAACAGCACCACGAGCACGTCCCCAGGCCTGGCCCGTCACCAGTGGGCACACGCGAGTGTCAGGTGGGTCGGGAAGAACCTCGCAGTAATCATTACGTATGTGTGTGTTTCATTCATATACTAAGAAAAAAGAACTATCACATCAAAACCATCACTTGGAAATGAATGAGATGAAACATATTCAGATTTTTTAAATGAACCAATTAAAAAAAAAATGGTAAGGAAACGGCAGTACAGGTGGTTCGGAGAAATAACATGGAGCATCGAGACAGCACTTCCGCTGTGCCAGGTGCCACCCAAGCACTTTATAAGCTGGCAGGGCTGGCCCAGGCCGGCTGGCTCAGCCCCGGCCGCCACACACTTGTTCATTTGTGATGTTGTGACGAAATCATCAAGACCTCTACCTCAGGTCATCCGCCCTCGACTTGTCCAGCCTTAAGCGAACCACACAGGCTGCGGCGAGTCAATGGGCCGCTCTCCCAGGCCGCAGTGGCTCCGAAGCATGGGGCCCGGGCCTCCAGGCTGCAGCTCGGCACCCACAGACATGCATGTGTGCCCGGTCTACCCCGAGGATTCAGTGTGCGGGCGGTGACCTGGGGAGGAGGAGGGCCGCCCATGCGGTGTGCTGGCTGGACACTAGGGGTGGGCCGGGCTGGGAGGCCCGAGTCGGAGCTCTGGGGCCAGGTTCCGGAGGGCGGGGCTGCAAAGTGGTGAGGGCCCCGCTCCAGCCCGAAGTCAGGGGGCTTGGATCCTGGCTCCTCCCTCCCGTGCTCTGCGAGCTCGACCTCGGGAAGGCCCTCCCCGGGCAGCATCTCACGCTGCCCACCGGAGACGGGGCATCTCGTAGCACAGTTGAGAGCACGGGCTCCGGAGCCAGAGCGCCTGGGGCCGAATCCTGGCTCCCAACTTAAACTCCGTGACTCCGAGCAAAGCGATCTGACCTGGCGCCTCAATCACCTTACCCTGAAAACGGGTAAGTGTGGTGACTGAGTTATTTAGCACAAGTCCATCCCTCAGACCAGGGCTTAGCACACGCCCGTGAGTGCTCACCAAAGGCTGGCCCTCACTGTCGTGCTGCGTCCCCCACTGGAAGGCAGGGACCCAGAACAGACTTGCTAAAGCACCTGCCCAGCGACGGAATGGTTGGCGAGACCAGGAGGACACGTGGGCGTGCGAGGGGGACACGTACGTGAGTGTGTGTTCCCTCAGCTCCCAAGGCCACGGCTCCGAAGGTCCGACTTATGCAGGGGCTGGCTTAAGCGGCTGTCAGAGAGGAGGGGCGGTGACGTGAGGGGCGCCCAGCCCCGTGTGCCGGGGATGAGATGTGCCAAGGTCACGGCTTTGAATAAGAGGACCTGCATTCCAATCCTTGTCCTGGTGAGACGGTGATAAACATTCTCAACAACCTCTTTCCCTCTCTGAAAGGGACATCTGTAGGGTCTCAGGAGATAAGGGACGTGAGGGCACCCGCCAAGTAGCTGCCCAGTGCGGGGCCTGACTCAACAGGAGACAGAGCTGGAGAAAAAGACAACGATGGTGGTGGCCGTGGTCACCACTTCCAGGTATCGGGCACTTACTCCGTGTTAAGACACCACTCCGAGCACTTTCTACACACAGTTTCATTCAGCCAGCTGCGCGATGCTATGAAACGGGCAGCTGTATCTCCATTTCGTAATAAAGGGAATCAAGTGCAGAGAGGGCAAGCCGTCTGTCCAAGGTCACAGAGCCAGGAGCGGCAGTACTGGAACGCACACCCAGGCCTGTCTTGCTCTGTAACTGGAACACGGCTTCATTCTCACATTACCTTGACAGGCCTGAGCGGGAGGCAGGGGCCGGGGCCAAGACGAAGGTTTGAGCCCTGGGGAGGGACGCTGCTGTGTGCAGCGGGCACCAGTCTCCCAGGAAGAGGCTGTGGGGCAAGCGGAGACTGCTCCCCCTCCCACCTGCCCTCACAAAGGGACAGACAGAAACCCGAGGCCAGGCATCAGGTGACAGGCAGAAAAGTCTGTCTCTCCTTTGCACACAGGTGCAAAGGCACCCACAAGATGCAAGGA